AGTTATTATACAGTACATTTATACTGCCTTTTTGACAGTATTAACATTTATACTGCCTTTTTGACAGTATTAACATTTATACAGCATTTTTGACAGTATTAACATTTATACTGCCTTTTTGACAGTATTAACATTTATACTGCCTTTTTGACAGTATTAACATTTATACAGCATTTTTGAAAGTATTAACATTTATACAGCATTTTTGACAGTATTAACATTTATACTGCCTTTTTGACAGTATTAACATTTATACTGCCTTTTTGACAGTATTAACATTTATACAGCATTTTTGACAGTATTAACACCTAAACTAAACTATCAATTGATAAAGAACAAATGACAGTAGAAATTAAGAATTTGATAAAATTTATACAAAAACATTTAAGAATAAAGACAAATGATCTTCAGGTTAGTTGGCCAACAACAAATAAATAATAAGAAACTAAAACCTATAAATTGAAAAAGTTGAAAAATAATAATAAAATAATACATAGAAATTAAGAATAAAATATATATATATATAATATATATATATATATATATATATATATATATATATATATATATATATATAGAATAAGATAAATGATCTTCAAAGAAAATAATAATCAACAACAAATTAAATTATAAACTTAATTTTTTGGAGCTTCAAAAAAAACGTGCCATTTTTCCTTGAGTTTAGAAATGTGAAAACTTTCACAAAAAAGATTGAAAAATAATAGAATGCTGATACATATGTAAATAATCACATTATTTTTTATGGATAGTATAGTAGTAGACAATAAGATATTTAGATTAACTTTAAAAAAAATATTTTTCTTTCAATCTTTGTTTTAAAATTGATTTATATCAAATCTTTTTTTTTTAATTTTGCAAAGAGGATTTAGAAAATGTTGATTATGTTTGAAAAGTGTCTGAATATATATGATTCAACCTATATTTTGAATATATAGTCAGGGATCCACTATGTACAAAGAGTTGGTATTATTACCAAACAGACATTGTCCTGAAATAGAAAGGAAGCATAGAAATTTCAAGGGATCCATGAGCATGTACAAAAGTTGGTATTATTACCAAACAGACATTGTCCTGGAAATAGAAAGGAAGCATAGAAATTTCAAGGGATCCACTGAGCATGTACAAAGAGTTGGTATTATTACCAAACAGACATTGTTGGAAATAGAAAGGAAGCATAGAAATTTCAAAAAAGCATGTACAAAGAGTTGGTATTATTACCAAACAGACATTGTTGGAAATAGAAAGGAAGTATAGAAATTTCAAGGGATCCACTGAGCATGTACAAAGAGTTGGTATTATTACCAAAACAGACATTGTCCTGGAAATAGAAAGGAAGCATAGAAATTTCAAGGGATCCACTGAGCATGTACAAAGAGTTGGTATTATTACCAAACAGACATTGTCCTGAAATGAAAGGAAGCATAGAAATTTCAAAGGATCCACTGAGCATGTACAAAGAGTTGGTATTATTACCAAACAGACATTGTCCTGAAATAGAAAGGAAGCATAGAAATTTCAAGGGATCCACTGAGCATGTACAAAGAGTTGGTATTATTACCAAACAGACATTGTCCTGGAAATAGAAAGGAAGCATAGAAATTTCTGGGGATCCACTGAGCATGTACAAAGAGTTGGTATTATTACCAAACAGACATTGTTGGAAATAGAAAGGAAGCATATTTCAAGGGATCCACTGAGCATGTACAAAGAGTTGGTATTATTACCAAACAGACATTGTCCTGGAAATAGAAAGGAAGCATAGAAATTTCAAGGGATCCACTGAGCATGTACAAAGAGTTGGTATTATTACCAAACAGACATTGTCCTGAAATAGAAAGGAAGCAAAATTTCAAAGGGATCCACTGAGCATGTACAAAGAGTTGGTATTATTACCAAACAGACATTGTCCTGGAAATAGAAAGGAAGCATAGAAATTTCAAGGGATCCACTGAGCATGTACAAAGAGTTGGTATTATTACCAAACAGACATTGTCCTGGAAATAGAAAGGAAGCATAGAAATTTCAAGGGATCCACTGAGCATGTACAAAGAGTTGGTATTATTACCAAACAGACATTGTCCTGGAAATAGAAAGGAAGCATAGAAATTTCAAGGATCCACTGAGCATGTACAAAGAGTTGGTATTATTACCAAACAGACATTGTCCTGGAAATAGAAAGGAAGCATAGAAATTTCAAGGGGATCCACTGAGCATGTACAAAGAGTTGGTATTATTACCAAACAGACATTGTCCTGGAAATAGAAAGGAAGCATAGAAATTTCAAGGATCCACTGAGCATGTACAAAGAGTTGGTATTATTACCAAACAGACATTGTCCTGGAAATAGAAAGGAAGCATAGAAATTTCAAGGATCCACTGAGCATGTACAAAGAGTTGGTATTATTACCAAACAGACATTGTCCTGGAAATAGAAAGGAAGCATAGAAATTTCAAGGGATCCACTGAGCATGTACAAAGAGTTGGTATTATTACCAAACAGACATTGTCCTGGAAATAGAAAGGAAGCATAGAAATTTCAAGGGATCCACTGAGCATGTACAAAGAGTTGGTATTATTACCAAACAGACATTGTCCTGGAAATAGAAAGGAAGCATAGAAATTTCAAGGGATCCACTGAGCATGTACAAAGAGTTGGTATTATTACCAAACAGACATTGTCCTGGAAATAGAAAGGAAGCATAGAAATTTCAAGGGATCCACTGAGCATGTACAAAGAGTTGGTATTATTACCAAACAGACATTGTCCTGGAAATAGAAAGGAAGCATAGAAATTTCAAGGGATCCACTGAGCATGTACAAAGAGTTGGTATTATTACCAAACAGACATTGTCCTGGAAATAGAAAGGAAGCATAGAAATTTCAAATGAAAGTCAACAGAGAACAAATTTTAAGGAAGATTTTAATTCAAATATTGAAAGAGAATATAGAATTGAATTCCAATGCTTTTACCCCCAAATGAACTCTACACTTTCCAGACAGATCAATCAAATCTGGATGGTCAAACACAGTATTACATTTGCTTGAAATGGAATGATCAAAATAAACTAGTCAGACATATCCTCTATCATATAACCTGAGCATAAACTATACCAAAATATATATGATAGGAAGTGGTTAAATTGTGTGATTAACTTACAAAGAGAATTTAGAGTTAAATCTCCCTTTAAACCTCTCTCTGCTATTTTTTTTATTTTTAAATGTACTTTTTATCACATAAAATTTGGTGAGGTGCAAGCAAATTTCCATTCCAAAAATACAGCACAGAGAAAAAAGTTGGGGAACCACTGCATTAAAGCTTCTTTCATCCCCCAACATTTATTAAAATCAAAAAATAAATGATATTTATCATTTTAGAAAATAGAGTGAGTGTGTCATGTTCATAATATAAATACAATATCACATCAATCAATAAATACAATATCAAATCAGTCCCCAGGTTATATTTACCATCATTGAAGTCACGAGTTTTGGCTTTGGCTTTACAAAGATATTTGCACAAACAAAAGAAGATAAAAAAATTTTTTCTTAAATGAATCCTACCATTAGGGATTTTTTTCCTCCTGCAATTCTTAATAAACATGTTCTGATGAAACACATTTTTTTTTTTACTTTGAATACACATGAAAAACTTTTCTATAAGTTATAAAAATTAATCTGTAGCATACAATATGGCATTTAAGATAAATATTTATTATCTCCCCTTGTTTACATAAATTCCTCTGTAATAATGCCAAATCAAAAAGATTGGATAATACATTCATCTGTTTTGAAACAATTTATTTAAAAATTCTATAATCCCTGATTGGAAAAAAAGACAACTGTAGTACATGGGGGCCCCAGCTTCAAATTTGACATTTGTAAATAAAAACATGGTAATGGTAGATCTTTAAAAAAACAGGATTGATTTGACATTTTATTAATATTATAAAAGATCCTTTTCCAAAATGAGAAAATAAAATAAATGTTTTCTTTATTCTAACAAACATTGTAGATAGAGGAAGGTCTAATGAATGCTAATCAACAAAAATTAGTCACAAAAAAAAAAAAGAAATTTCCTATTTCCCTATATGAGTTTACTATTTTCCCTCATTAGTTCCAATGACAATCATGCAAAAGACAATGTTAAGTAGTGATGGCTTTTTGTGGTTAGAATCAATATTAGATGAAAAAATGATTTGAATGATTTGAAGAATCATTCATCCTGTGAAATAAAGAAGAGTGAAATAGGATGGAACTGAAAAGTTCTCAGCCAGACCAACTTCTTCAGAAATCTGATGCTTAGTCATTGAAATATTAATTTTGGGAAAATGTCTGAGACCTTTTAATTACTCCCTCATCTGAAAATATTGTCAACGAGAGTAAATCTTTTCGACCGTTGTACACTCCGGCCTTCTTCAGGTGAGTGGAATGTCGAACTGAACCCTTCATTTTACTCACTGGGGTAGACTGTTCTAGTTCCATGTGCCATGTTTAATGGATGTCAGTTATCAGTTATCTCCTGTTAATTCCCCTCTCCAAGTTTTCCACTGCCTTAACCGGGTATTGAACTCACACACTCCTGTCACTGGATTTAACCAACACCTTTCTCCACTGTGCCATGTGTCCAGAGAACTTCCAGAGGGAATTAAGCAGGAGATAACCGATAACTGACATCCATTAAACATGGCACTTGGAACAAGAACAGTCTACCCCAGTGAGTGAAATAAAGGGTTCAGTTCAACATTCCAACCACCTGAAGAAGGCCGGAGTGTACAATGGCCAAAATCTTGTAATAAATATGGCAACAAAGATTAGGACAATAGTCCAAATAATGTAAATAGTGTACATAATACCTCATCTCAGAAATATAGACAGATACTGAAGAAGGCCGGAGCGTACAACGGCTGAAACGGTGTAATAAATATGGTGACAAAGATGAGGACAATAGTCCGAATAATGTAAATAGGGAAAATCAAATGTCAATCATATTTACCAATTTTTTGAGATTCTGAAGCAGTTAAGAGCTTCAGGCTGGTAACACCACCAGAATGACCTCCAAATATATGAAGCTCTTCAAAGGTCTTCAGACTCCATGACCTTATGGTCGTATCACGGCTAAAGAATGGAAAAGAAACTATTAAAGGCAACGAAATGTCTTTTATAAATGGTATTGGAATTTGACATCAATTTAATATCCACAGATTATGTAGTTAACATATCAGATTTTTTTTAATACTTTTTAGCAAATACTAAATATTTATTCATTTTATAACAACAGAAAATGAATATAGCAATTAAAAAACAATCAAAAATGACAGGTAATATTTTGATTTGTTTGTAAGTTTCTGTAAGGGCTTCTCCAAATGTAATGCATCTTATATGTTGGTCCATGATAAAGGATGATGTTACTAGAGGTTGAACCTGCCCACCAGTAAGTTATAATTGTTTTCCCTTGTTAAAGATAGCAGCTGAGTAACAGTATGGTAAAACGGCTTCTGACATGAGATAGTATATGTAGAAGAGTTGTGTCCATATGCAAAAAAACTACATCCATTAACATTCATAAACGCTTACTAAAGATTTATGGAGACCAAATAATGAATGTGAACACAGCTGGTGGATAACATCTTTCAAAAGTGATGATAGTAATATGCATGAAAAAATGGATTGCCTCTACTAATTCAAATTTTTACAAGCACAGCATTCAAGCTCATGGTCATTACTCAGCGAAATTCATAGTCAACAGTGATGACTAGATGGAAAAAATATAGTTTTGGTAATTTATGATGAAATCTAAGACTGAAAAAAAGGATCAAATTGTTTATTCAATCAATAACATAAAGTTTTTCCAAATTATAAAACCAGTTCACATACCTGGCTGTAACGAGAATCTTATCATTTGAATCTATGTCTGTCACTAAATCATTGTGGCCTTCTAAATCATAGACAATAAACTGGCTGCGGTTCCAGGATTTTTTAATTTGTTTACGTTTGGATGAATCTTTTTTGGCTTGATCTTTCTTTGATAAATCTGTCAAAAATAGAAATAAATCATTCAGGTCATCAGAACAAAATCAAGTCTTTTTATATATTTTTAGGGAAAGAATGTGCAATGTCAGAGAAGAAGTGGAAGTGTAAAGAGCTTTGTTTAAGTGACAAAATGTGAGTTCTTGACTTCTTAATAAAAAAAAAATAATCCTAATCTGAGGTTGCTAAGATCTACAGTAAGAATGAAAATATCAATATCAGAAATAAAGTGTTATATATATAATAAAAATATAGTTTTAAGATACGCTATATTTAGGCATTAAAGTGCTCAATATCAGGGATAGAGGGTATGAAAATATAAAAGTGGACATTGAAGTCAACACCTAGCGCTGACAATCTGTTTCATGCTTAAACGCAATTGCTAGGATTCATGATTGCATTTAATATATATATATATATATATATACTGTATATACTCATGCAACTTTTGAAGGCCTAATTTTAAGGGGGTCACATCAAACACAAGTTATAAAATTAGCATATGTACTGCTGGCCCTGGTTACACCATTGACCAAACTATATATACATTTACTGTAGTTAAAAATGACAACTGTATTTAAAATAAACATTGTGTGATACACGAGTATATATGTTTATAAATATATATAATGGACTCTCTCCTGTCGGTTTCGACGTATGAGGATCTGAAAACTTAATTGATTCAGTTATGAAATTTTGTGCAATAATCTTAAGTGGCACTTAAGACCTGCTAGTGATTTACAAAGGAGGCCACATATGTAGCAAGAATAAGGATTATGGGATGAGATCACTGTTAGATTGGCTAACCTTTTAGATCTTGCTCTTGCTTCTTGAAGACGATTCAGACTAGTTGATTGAAAACTGTGGAATCCACTAAAACACGTTGATCTCCATTCTACCCACTCCAAGGCTAAGTGCTCAAGGGTGTTATGAGGTATATTGACAGCTGACAAGTTGCTTTTCAGCTTGTCTTTGTATCTTAGCCATGGGCGTCCTACATTCCTGTAGCTCTGATCTAATTGGCTACACATTAGGATCTTAGGTATCCTGTCATCAGACATTCTCAAGACATAACCAGTCCACCATAACTGAGACTGTGTGTGTATATATATATATATATATATATATATATAGAGAGAGAGAGAGAGATAGATAGATAGATAGATAGATAGATAGATAGATAGATAGAAACTGAAATAAACAAACACTAAAATATTTGTTAAAATCGTACATGTTTAAAAAAATCCTCAGTTTCAAGTAAGAAAAATCAAAACCGTAGAGTGATTTAATATCACAAGAAGATAAAACGATGACTGGAACAGACATATTTTTTTGACCACCAAGGTCTTGTCAAGTGGTTTACTCAGCAAATTAATCAGAAACAACAAGAAATTAAATGCCTTAACATTATTTTTAGTGGGTACCCATATTTGATTAGATGCCTCATTTATTTATTAAACAGTATATTTATTATCATCTTTCAGCCTGAATAGTCGAGAGACCATCATTAAATGCAATATGCATATACTGATTCAGACATGAAAGACATTGCCGATTAAGCAAGGCTGAATAGTGCCTTTAAACAAAATCCTTTTCATCACAGACTCTTATCCCTGCTCAGTTTCATATGCAAAAGTAATCAAAGCAATTTCTAAAGAAGTAATAGATTTTGCATTTATTAATACCACAGATTTTTATCACTTAAATGTTATATTTAATATATAGCCATATTTGAGTAGACACTGAGCTTTTTATTTTTAAACAGTATATATATTATCATCTACTGGCCTGAATATTCAAGAATTTTTTTCAATAAGATTTCTCAAATATTCAGGCCAGTAATGTATTTGGCTTTATATTTGTTTATGTTTTTTTGTTTTTGTGGGGTGCTATAATCGTAAGTCTGTCTATCTTTATTTCTTCTTTTTTTAATGTGAATATTTTATCAAACTTGGTGATATGTAAATAGACACCTTAATCTCATAAACACTTAATCTCGTATTTTTTGTAAATGTGGTTATTCATATGTAACCATATATATATAGAAAAAAATTAGGTTAATCATATATTACACTAAATCTAGTATATCCAACTTAACTATTCACAATGATTCTTCCCACCTCCCCATTTGCGATTGGCAGAAAACCAACATAGTCTACAAATTCAAGTGCCCTTTGGGAGATTGTATCTCCAATGGATTAAATAATATTTATGCTGGTCACGGCACTTGACTCTACATTTAAATGATAACTCTAACATTTTTAGACATTTAAAACAATATGCTTGCCCACATACTCAATTCTGGAAAATCCTTGACAAAATTGTGACAACACAACTATACTTAAACATGAAAACAATAAACAAAAATCAAAAATTCTTAAAGCTTTATACATAAAAGAGTTGAAACCTAACCTGAACAAAATAAACTATGAAATCTCCTTAAATGCCTATAATTTATAAGAGAAGACATTGGTTTATACCAACGGCTTCCCATACTTAATACTTCTCATTTTTCACTCTCGTGTGGTCATGTGTGACATCACGAGCTGCAACATGATTTTCACTTCCGCGTCTCGTATATACGAGTTTGTTGTTATTTTGAAGGACGGACTATCATTGTTGTTTCTTCCATATGTTGTTTGATTTATTGAAATTGTCATCTTTGATAGTGGCTTATGTAAGCCGAAAGCTTACAGTGGATTTAAACATATATCAATATAGTGTTTTCCTTTCATCTTTCAACGATAATGTGATTAAACTTATCAGACAATATGAAAGGAACTTACTTAAAATAAATAGACAAAACTTGTCTATATTATTTAATGAAACATGCATTAATATATATATATATGTGTGTGTGTGTGTGTGTGTGTGTGTGTGTGTGTGTGTGTGTTTGAGTTGAAGATCAAATGTAGATCCAATATGGTTAGGAATCTGACAAAATGATAAAATAAAGAACAAAATAGGAAACAGATCTCACACTAATAAGTTTCACTTTTATTAAGTGTACGGTAGTGATTGGGAATAGTATTGAACAAAAAAGCAAAGAGACACAGAGTATTGGTATGTTATGATTTTTGGTAAGTTCTTATTGGTCAGATACATGTCACATTTATAAACAAAATAGATAATATATAAATATATGTGAGGAATATTTTGGACATTAAAGTTTGTGATAGTGTAAGAGTGTGTAAGTAAAGAAGCACTTGTGTGTCTAGATTTGCTGGGTACAGCTTATCAAAAGTTTATTTGCTTTAAAGAAAGAGAATAAAACTCATGAAACAATTTACCTTTAAGTGTTGCATCTGGATCTAATTCTTGCTCACTGCAAGAAAAAATTTCTCAATTTGAGGCCATTTTTTTAAAAAAACATTTTTGCAGTAGTTATAAATAACTTGAGTATGTTAAAAAAAAAAACTCTTTTTAATTTGTGGTTTACACAGAGTAACACACTATGACTGCTGTCTGTCAAAGTTGACAATAGGTATAACAACATTTTACCGTTACATCTGCTTGGGCAAGAAAGGTTGTAGTTTTGCCTAAGCAATCAGTCAGTCACTTCTTTTTTTGTTGTGAAAATGGTGACCATGAATGTAGCAAAACAACTGACTGCAATGGTTTTACTGGGCAGGCATCAAAAGTGCATAGTTTAGTAACCACAAAACAACTATCTTTCTTTTCTTTGATGCACATACATTTGAATATTGATGGTGTCCTGCAGGATAAAAGAGAATTTTGATCTGGTAGAAGATCAGACATTTCACCTGTGGTGAAAGCAAATCAAGTTTGACAGTGAAAGTGTAAAAACTCTTTCAGTTGTAGATAAGACTTGTAGCTGTCAGTATCTTTTTCTTCTTTATTTCTACAACTTCATCTATCAACTATTGTGGTGTACCAGTGACAAGGTAAGTACAAAGAGGGCTCATGCTTTTCCAACTGACATTAGTGATTAGTGAACACAGTCTCACCCAAAATTCTAATTCTGTTTGCCAATTTTTTTCTCAGCTAATAACAGCTACCCACTGACCCCTGAATTGCCAAACTGCTTAATTCCAGGGTTATAATTTATTTTAATCAATTTATTAGTTGACTTGGCAACTTTTTAATTACAGAAATGTGTTCATTAAGATTCACACTGTGGAGTTGTTTGTTTTTACAAGGAAATGTTCTTTACTTTCCATATTATTGATGATTTTATTATCTGTCTTTGATAATCATATCAGAGGTTGAATAGAAATAAAAGATTCTACATTCACTAAAGGCTGAAAAATAAAACTAACATTTATGCAGCTTAATACATCTTTACAAAAAGATCAAACATACTTGATGGATTCTTGATGGAACTTAGTTGTTTGAGGATCACATTGTTTTTTTCTTCAATTTTTTCTTTTTTTTTTTTTTAGTGTGCTAACATTTGTCACTATTATTGAAGGTTTAAAACTCCATTCATTCCTGAAGAAACAGATTGTGTGTGTGTCATATCCAGAACTAGGCAGAGGCTGGAAAAATCTTTATAGTTCCCCCCCACAAAGAAAAAGCTAGATTGTGGCAGGCAACCAGGAAATTTTTCGGATTTTAATTTTGCCAAGAATCTTGCATGCATCATAAATGTGCTTGCTAAAAATGTCCTCTCAGAGTTGCTCAAAGAATAGCATTTGACATTAGCAAAGTTTAGAAGAAACATTAATGGTTTAGAAATTTCCATTCATTTAAAATAAAGTTAGATTTTATCAAGGCTTCTGGCAGGAAATTAATTTTTAAAATATAGTATTTTGTTTTGGCATTATTTGCAAAAAGTCCATTCTATTCACAGATATTACAGGAAATTGTGATTTTAACACTTTTATCACAGGCAAACGTCAGCCTAAAATAGAACAACGGGGATTTTTCAGAGACTAAATAACATAAAAATATACACATAGCATAGCAATTATTGGCATGGAGAGAGAAATCAGTATGCCAAGATCAAATTCTGGCTGAGTTCATTGTATTAACTTTCACACAATTACCCTTGGGAAAAGTATGAATATATCTCTTCTTCTTCAGCTATGGATTAAAAAGTTGTAGAGACTGGAATTTTTAACCCTGTTTGGTAACTAGTCTAAGAGAAGGACAACACTGAATTCAAAACTAGTTAGGGGCATGGTGTCAGTAACTCAGCTACTTGCTACAGAAATCACAGCAACTACATCTAGCATGGCAAGTCTGTGGTGAGTCTGTGCCCCCCCCCATACTCTACAGGGAAATTTAACAAATTTCTTAAATAACATTTATGAAAAGACATATAAGTCATGCTGTATATTAAGGACAAAAAGAAAACACAGTGTGAACTTCAAAATGGGAAATATTATGTAATTAATACTGCTTGCTGTTAACAGATAATGGCTTTTGTAGTTGTGATTAGATTACTCTACAAAACAGAGCCTAAATAACATTACTGTAAAGCAGGTATTAGTCACAGCAGTGCATGGAGGACAAAATGAAGACAAAGTGTGAATTTTAAAAAAGGGGACATTAAGTAATTAAGTAATATAATAAAAAAAAAAATGTTAATATCTTTTGATATGTTGAAATATCAATATTTGTTGGCCATACATAACAATTCTGAAAATTTTTAAATTGTAGCAAATTACTTTTATAATGTGAATCATGTTTATTATGAAGAAAACATTTAGAAAAGGATAACATATAAAACATTACAAATCAGTGATAGAACAAATGTGAAGAATTTTTAACTACACTCAGCCAACAATAAATCAAAGACAAAATGGAATTGGACTTAAAATCTTGGAATTTCGCCAAAAACACAGAGAATGTCAAAAATGAATAAATAAAATGATAATTAAATGAAAACAAGCTACAGAATCCAAAAGTTTATCCAACAATTTAAACATTTTGCTTTGGTTTAAGAAAACAGGAATCAAAGAATTTTTGTGGAAAACATCATTTTGAACATTATAAAGACAACATTTCAGTCTCATCATTTATAAAAAGATGTTTATTAGAATTATGGATTATATAATCAAATAATTATGTTTAGCAATATCAATCAAACACAAACATTTTATTTAAAATAAAGTAAAAATAATAATTCCTAGTCAATATTATTTTATATTAATTTTTTTATAAAGTAAAATTGTTCCAATTTACATATTGTGTGTTATCAGCTGGTTATTGTTATTAAATTGACCTTATTCCCAAGTGATCACAATAAGCGGCTTCCTCAAAATATGGTAGATGTAAATAACACAGTGAATAATCAAAATACATTTAAAAAAAAAGAATAATTCTTACAGCGACAATCATTTTCAATTCTAAAAAAGGAGACACTTTAAGGGTGAAAATGACATACTTTGAAGGGGATTTTTCCTCCTTGGTATTTTTTTGTGAGACATTGTTTCCTTTTTGTTTTTGGCCAGGTATCTGTTTTGAGGAAATAATTTCATTGTAAGATGGCGGTGAATCATCTTCATTCAATTTTATGCTACCAGGCGTATCAGGCTTCGATGTGCGATCAAAGGTTTTCTCAGTTTTAACTTTTTCTTCTTTTGCCAATGCTTCTTGAGCTTGTTGCGCTTCAATATTTGCTTGCTTCTCAGCTTCTTCAATAAGTAATTTTCGTAACTGTTCTCGAATGGCATCTTTTTTCAGCACCTGTCACAAAAGAAAAGATTTGGATTAATGTTAGACATTAAAAAAAAAAAATTCATCTTTGGAATTTGATACTTGGCTTTGAGGTTATACTGAAGGCATTTGAAGAGAGGAGTCATTTGTAGCAATTACCACAACTTTGTCTGCCAGGATGCCTGCTTGGTGTCATTCTGTTCATGACTAGGAATGGAATAGACATAAATGCCATTTCTTGGGTCGGGGGGGGGGGGCTTTAATAAAAGTTTAGTAGTGATAATAATGGGACTCTTCCTTTCCAGGCAGAGACTCCTTGGGTAGCCAACTACTTAATTTCACACAACCACATGGCATATATATATATATATATAGTCAAACCTAGAGAGCCAGACAAACCTACCAAGGTTTCGCCTATAAGTATACAGTTTTCTTTACCTCTTTAGCCAGCTTTCCCTGATGATCCACTTAGGTGAAACCTTGGTAGGTTTGTCTGGCTTTCTAGGTTTGACTAGGTCTGCTCTAGTTTTGTATTGAACACTTTTTTAGTTAGTTGATTACTCGTATAGGGTTTTTTTTCTTTGGGCTTTGGACCTGTATGAAGTACGATTATTTTTGACAGACGTTCATGTTCCTAGCTCTTTCTTTTTTTAAAACCTTTTTTTCCTTCGAAATTGATTTGATCATTAGCAAATCAAGAAACCGAAGGTTTTCCGAGATGAGTGTAGTTACCTATATATATATATATATATATATATATATATATATTGATGCATGTTTCATTAAATAATATAGACAAGTTTTGTCTATTTATTTTATGTAAATTCTTTTCATATCATCTGATAAGCTTAATAAAATTATCATTAAAGACGAAAGAAAATCATATTATTTATACATATTTTTTAATCCTATCTAAGCTTTTGGTTTACATAAGCCATTATCAAAGCAACATGCCTGACTGGAAAAATCCTCGTTGAAAACACAACTATACTTAAACATGAAAACAATAAGCAAAAACTAAAAATTCTTGAAGCTATATACATAAAACAGTTGAAACCTAACCTGAACAAAATAAACTATGAAATCTCCACAAATATTCTTAAATGCCTATAATTGAAAACAGAAGCCATTGGTTTATATCAACGGCTTGCCATACTTAATACTTCTCGTTTTCACTCTCACATGGTCATGTGTAACATCATGAGCTGCAGTGCGATTTTCACTTCCAGCGTCTCATATGCACAAATTTGTCATTGCTTGGAAATCTTCCATGTAAACAAAAACAGACTATCATTATTATTTTGTCCATGTATTGTTTAACATATTGTAATGTAATTGTCATCTTTGATAATGGCTTATATGTTGTGATTTTCTTTCTTCTTTTAATGATAATGTTAATAAGCTTATCAGATGATATGAAAAGAATTTACATAAAATAAACAAAACTTGTCTATATTATTTCATGAAACATGCATCAATGAAGAAATGCTCCCTAAATACCCACAATATATATATATATATATATATATATGCAATTTGCATATGTTATTTATATATTATATACGCATGGTACTTATTGGAAAGCACTCAATATCAGTGATAGAGCTAACATATTTAGTCGGATTGATGTGAGTTTGTGACCCTGGGTTTCACGCTATTTGCAATTGTCAGACAAACTGATTAATTTCTAAATTTTGGATTTATATATGGTTGCGTATATCGATGTTTTCATGGCAGTGGGAGGAAAAATTGTCATTGGAACGTCACTCATACTTACGCAGACATGCATACAGGCAGATTCATGCATTGCAGCTAACACAAACATAAACATATATGAACAGTGTGGGACTGGGCGTATATCTGCATCCATGTGTCATTGTGTACATACATACGTAATTGGTCACTGTATTCAATGTTGGATTGTGTTGCAAACTGCTTTCGTAAGTCGCAGTGTCAACCGTTCGTCTATTTTGTTCGTGGAATGATGTTTTCTTACAAACATATATACATGTATGCACGTGCGTTCACACATCTTCTTATCTGTTTTTGTTTTGTTTTTTTATCTGGTTTATGTAGTAGTGTTGGTTGGTATATTTTTTTCTTGTTTGGTATAAATTTTGATAATAGGTATTTGTTTTCATATCTGCATTTACAAATTATTTATAATCTTAGTAATTACAGCAACCAATAGTGTATGCATGTGCACAATGACACATGGATGTGCATATACACCCAGTACCACACTGTTCATATATGTTTATGTTTGTGGGAGCTGCAATGTGTGAATATGCGTGTATGTATGCTTGCGTACATATGAGTGGCATTCCGATGACAATTTCCCCTCCCACTACCACAAAAACACTGATATACGCAACCATATATAAATCCAAAATTTAAAAATTAATCAGTTTGTCTGACGATCACAAATAACGTGAATCCCAGGATCATAAACTCACATCAATCAAACTGAACTGAACCACATATTTGATATATATATATATATATATATATATATATATATCAAATATGTGGTTCAGTTCAGTTTATATTACAATGAATCATCCAATGAATCTATTTCAAAATTTTGTTGACATTAAATGACTCACTGAGGTTTTGATATGCCATAAAACCAAACAACCAACCAAACAACTAATCATTTCAATTTGAAACAACGTGTCCTTTTTTTTTCAAAGATGTTTCATAATTCCATAGATTCTAGGGAAATTTAGGATGTTTACAATTTATTTGAAACCAATGAATGTCAGCAATTAATGAAAGAATATTGAAAACAAATTTTGAAATTTAAAAGAAAAAGAGGAAATTTAAAAAAGTTATTTAACATAAACAAAATCAGCAGAGATTAACTGATTGGACAATGTTGATGAGGAAGATGACCTAAGAGGGGGATGACCTAAGAGGGGGATGACCTAAGAGGGGGATGACGTAACCAACATGTTCCTGTCTTATTGGGTAATGGTAAGAGAGAATTGAGTCTTAAACCCTGGACAAATCAAATTTGGGATTGTGCAGAAAGTGATTGAAAATTATTAATCAGAATACCCAAAGACAATCACAAATTACTGGCATCTTTCAATTAATGTGTTTTCAATTAGTGTGTTAAAATTTTTATACACCAAAATTCGATTAGTGCATACATAATACTTGATTTGTGCAGTAAAAAAATTATTTTTTATAGTTACCGATGTACACATTAGCCAGACTAATCAAGGGATTTCTGTATTGCTGTTCTTCCAAATTGTTCTCAATACAAACCCCTCACTTTGGATCCTTGGTCAGGTAGAACAAAAGAAATTAGCAAACTCTTCTAATATGATCTTTAGTAATTGTTTGTTGCCACTGTGAGACAAAATTATTGAGTGAAGAATTTCAGAGAACTAGAAAATCCTAAAGTAAGAATTACTGTTCAAATTTTGGTGGCTAGTTTTGAATGAAGATTCAACTAATGTATCATGTCTGGGCAAATTCCTTAACCAGTTATCACTTAGAAACTTTAAACAGGTATTTTCCTATCATTTTACAGATCACCATTTTCTTCTTCCCTTTATGGTTGTGTAACTTGGAGAGCTGAGTTCAATTTCCTGTCAAGTTCATTAGATTCACTTACACACAAACGACTACCGGTAAATCTCGTATATGGTTGGTCTATTTTCTTTATGCAATAGGATGAAACTGCACTATACACCGCACACTGTGGTGAAGAAGCCAGTAAATTATGTCAACCCAAACAATATCTGTCTAATTCTGAGATGAGGTATTGTAACTACACAATTTACAATGTTTGGACTATTGTCCTCATCTTTAATTGTCATATTCATGACATGGACGGTGGACGAAATAAAGAGTTTGGTTCAAAATTCCAATGTATATCACCTGAAGAAGGCCGGAGTGTACAACGGCCGAAACGTTATGAATATGACAATAAACATGAGGAAAATAGTCCAAACAATTGTAAATAGTGTAACAACCCAAACATTGTTAAATGACAACTAAAAGGACATTAAAAAATGCATATTTTATATCAGAGTTCAGTGTTAAAAATGAGGTGGGGTATAGTTACTTTTTGTTTTTAGTTTTACACTTTACACTTTCGAAAACAATAATTAATATCTTTAGTACACCAGTTTACACACAATGTCAAAGATATCATCTTTTATACAAATTACGTCTCGTAATGATATGATATTTTAAAAAAGGGTTTTAGAATCTAAAATTTGGAGGAAAAAAAACAAACAAAAGTAAAACGTATCCTGGAATTTGTTTACCCACATCCAATCAAACAACTTCTTCCCGCTAGCCACTTCTTTGTTGTGGAACCGACACCCAAGAGAGGCTGTTTCCCTGAACACAGCAATAACCTGTTCAAAAGTTCAAGTCTAGGGTTAACCCCAACCGTTATCTTCCCCTCCAATCCGTATAGACCTAACGTAACCCTACATTGAGTGGACGCCGAGCCTTGTACATGGTGAACCTAATGTAAAAAAAATTGTTGTTTTCCAATCCACTTTTTTGTTTGTGCACAAAAAGTAATAAAAAGAAAGAAGAAAAAAGGATATATGAACTGTTTTTAAAAGCTGGGAAGGGCCTGCTTACTTAAAAAAAAAAAATCAACACATGAAATACTGTTTTTTTTTGTTTTTTTTTTTTAGTGGGGGCGGGGGGTCCTGGGTTCGAACACGTTTATGTTTTTTACTGCGAACTTTGCTTTCAGCGCAGCGTCAAACTTCTACGTGGCATGATGCCTTTAAAAATCAATATACAAAGTTCTAACTTATTATCTGGTCCCGAATAACGATCACTGAAGCCAGTCCAACTCTAGCTTCTTAATCTTATAATTAATCAACAAATTATTTAAATTATTAAAAAAAAAAAAAAGTTTTATGATGACTGATGAGCAAAGACCCGAGAAATTAAAAACAACAATGCGACCTGAACAGAAACATATGTTTTAACAAACCAGAAATAAATTACCTTAATCACTTCATCTTCTAAAAGATCTCTATCGAGTCTTTCAAGATTCTCAATCTGTCGTAATTTCTTCCGCAGTTTTCTAATTTCGATTTCTCGTGGTGTTTTTGTCGAGGTAGACATATTGGCATTCGCAAAGAAACACTGATTATCTCCCTTGGTTGTCAAATGAAGCAAAAAAAAATGACAAGTAAAAGGGAGAACAAGATTAACGTATTGAACTACTTTTGAAAATACAAGGCGAGAAATATCGTTATTTGTAGCCTAATCTAACAACTAGGACCGAATTATTCTTTAGACTAGTATAGATTGCAGCCTAGGGATCTCAAGCTTTTATAAAGTATGATTATAATTTTCTAGTTTCAGAATATGAAATTATGACAAACTTTTCAGGAAGCGAAGCAAGGAAAAAAGAATGTTTTTTATTGTCCTTTTAAAATGAAGATTGTTATAAGAACAGTTTTTGTGCTGTTTCTCTTGTTTGCTTTTCGTTTGTTTACACATTTGTAAAGTAAAAGCTTTTCTAATTAAGTAATATCATAGTTTTATTGGATTCATTATTTTTCAATTCAGAGCAGATTTTCAGTTAGTTAGCACAAATTTGGAAAAAAAAAAAGTAGGTGATTTAATTTTAATATCTCTAATGACTCTTACTTTAAACAAAAAAAAGTTTTCAGGAAATAAAAAGGTTTTGAACGAAATTTCAGGACAATAAGTAAGTGGGGTGTAACATATTTAAAAAAATATATTTTTTACCAAAATTTTCTAAAAAGAAATATTTCAAAAATAATTTCATTCATTTGTGAATAAGTCCTGAAAATTTCATTAAAATCGGACAATTACTTAAATTTTACAAGAATTTCCAAATCAATGTGTTTTCAACGGAAAAAAGCGCAAAAAAAACAATGTTATTTTAACGTCCCCGCGATGACGTAAACAAAAGAAGACTTTAACCAAAATTTCGAACGTGTTAGAAAATATTAAAAAATTTCAAAAAATAATTAAAAAATACTTTGGTCTTTCATCTTAATAATAACATAAGCATTTTGACGATAAAACTTGATTTTCGTTAAGTTTGTGGAATTTTTCATTACGCTATGCTGTTTTCCCGCGAAAAGTGGAGGTGCCTACTTTAGTAAAGTAAAAGATGTACAGGTTGATAAGCCAGAGGTTACAATTATCTGCTAGGGGAGGTTGTAGACTTGATGACCACAGCAATGAAGAGAAAGAAAGAAAAGAAAATATCAATTTTGGTTAAATGTTTTGCTTTAATTTGTATGTGTTACTGTATGAAATACAAAAACAATTAAGTCTGATCGTGATTTTTATGTAGTAAGACTTGTGATAATACAGCATGAGTTACTTCCCTTTAACTTGTAATTCTTAAAGCCTTTTTAAAAGGAAATATTTTTATTTGGACTCACAGAAAAGATTTCAGTTTATGAAATAAAGTTCAGTCTCAATGAAGAAATGTTCAGACTTGTTGAGTTCTGAAGAAAATCTCCCGGTTAGAAGTTGAATAAATTTCTGTTGCTTGTAGTTAATGAGTTAAGAGAGATGTTCAACGTTCGTACGTTACGTGTGTGCGTAGAGCGTCTTCCATTAAGGAACAGACGCAGGCTCTTCACTACATTGTTGTGGTGTGAAAGAAAAGCTAAAAGAATATTGAAAATGTTGCTCGTATTTATTTACTATCAAGTCATGTGATAGGCTCGAATAACATAGATAGATTTTTCGTTCAAGTCAGTAAGTAGGTCGATACAATTCGGACGTAGTTGAAAACATGATATTAGGATTAATTAACCAATCGGGATTCAGAGAAATAGTAAGGTCGGATTTTAATTCTGTGATTCACTTTTTGCACAGATTTTGTTGATAGCAGTACAGTTACGTAAGAAATGTATTGGAATCTTTTTAACCAATGGAATTAGTTAGATCACAAATAAAATATTGTTAAATTGAGATAGATAAGTTTTGACTTTGTTTTTATTCACATTGTCCTTTTACACACACAAATTTAAACAACATTTAACCAAAATTGATATTTTCTCCTCTTTCTCTCTCTTAATTGCTATTTAGTCTTGGTTGTAGAATTAGATTTCTACATTCTCTGTTTTAAACCTGTTAAATGAGGATCACAACTGAACCCATTATAGGATACAAATCCTATATTCCAACAAATGACTAAAAAAACACAAAGTAGATTTGCACACCCGCAAAATCGGATCAGAACGACCAAAAACAGATTTCACAATAAGGTGTGAAATTAATTTTCTGACCAATGAAAGGAGGCGATTTGCTAAACCCAAAAAAAGATAACGAGCCAGTGTGAAAAAAAAGTCAACAATAAATGCGTAGTTTTCAAGTCAGTCGCCAGTCAGTCAGTCAGAGAAGGCCGCAAAAGATCACAGAAGATTGACAGTAAATTCCATCACTGACTCAACCCGAAAAGTGGAGTAGGAAGGAACAACAACAACAACAAATTTACAACTGACTTCAAAACAATTCATAAATACATTTTCCTTTTATCTTTATTCCTCATTAACTCTCTTTTTTCAACTTAAATTGTTCGCCCCTTTTTCATTTTACAACTATACAAAACAAAAGAAACAGACATTATTCTGCTACTCTGTTAAAAGACATTTTTATCAAAATCACAATTTTGCTTAAACGAACTAAAGCATTAATCTTTTTTTACCCTATTCACAAGATAATAAATATACAATGTTCTATTTTTTATAAACGTTCCTTATCGTGTTGTTTCTTCTTGAAATTTGCGTTGTATTTTGTGGGCAGGGTATCCCGTATTAAATTCTCTTTTAATTGGGGTACGCTTAACCCCACACCATTAAAATCGGCTCCAGAGTTCAGTACAAAACAATGCTTTCTGATTGGCCCATAAATAATAATGTTATGTTTCTGCCTACATTTACACAGTTGATCTCAAGTTGACCTGTTTATAGTACAATGTGTCAAAAAATGTAAGTGTTCTCAAGCCTACATGTGATCAAGAAAACTCATAAATATGAAACTTTGACATGACTTAGTCAGTGACTCCCTCAAAATAATCAACTCATTACATGAATCCATGAAACCCAACTTCCTCGTTAAAAGTTAATTTTTATTAACATCAACCCGGATTGTGGAATTCAATTTCTTTTCAACATCAACTCATCTAGTGACCAATTCAACCAAGACGAGATTCAGAAACCAACACACTCAATATCTTAACAACATAAAAGAAATCGTAACTATATCAGTTGAAGGGAGACAACTCTACAGTAAAGTCAAGCAATCTATTTCATTTAATTTCATCATCAACATAAACTGCTTAATTCCTTACCAGATCTACAGCATAACACCTTTTATATTACCCTTGATCACACAACCAAGAACTCTAAAGTGTTTTAAACAACTTTATCATATCGTGTGTGTACTTGTTGTTATGTAAAAATATTTTCTGTTTAAACAAATATTTGCCTATTTGATTATTTCTCTTGTTGTTGTTGTTTTTGTTGTATTTGATTTAGTAAAAATAGTAAAGGGTCAGTTTAAGTTGTATTTTCTCACCAATACAGACTTACTAATTCACTACATGGTCATCATGTCTACAACCTCCCCTAGCAGATAATTTAATTGTGAGCTCCATTAACTTTTCAACGGTTGCATATTATGTGCTTTGTGAGGTTTGCTACATTTTTCTTTTGAACCACAGCTAGAGAATCCAGTCTACCATGTTATTTAACACATAGATAACTTGAAAAGAGATGTGTAATTGTGCAAAAGTGAAAGTAACAAACACAACTGGAATACAAATTTGGTTCACCCATTCCTCAATCCAAGCAAACTGCTACCCCACCCAAACATACATGGGGTTTATCTTTGAAAAACACTAAAAGAGATTTTTTTACAAAAATGTTTTTATAGTAGATCCAATAATATTTTAAATATGAATCTTTAACAATGTTTTTAAATAATTTGGATTTCAGTAACTGAACATTTGTTTGGATATTTTTTTAATCAGTTCACCCCAAGCAAAGTGATAATGCCACTAAGATGCAAGGAGCTACTGGAAGTGAAAAAGAAGGAAAAGACTTTAGAAGGAACCAGAAATCCTTTCATAGTATAAATCCTTTACTCAATCTTTTCATTTTAATCAATTCACCCCAAGCAAGGTGATAATGCCACTAAGACACAGGGGGGCTACTGGAAATGAAAGAGAAGGAAAAGACTTTAGAAGAAACTAGAAAAACTTTCATACTATAAATCCTTTAGTCCATCTTTTCTTTCTTAATCAATTCACACCAAGCAAGGTGATAATGCCACTAAGATGCAAGGGGGCTACTGGAAGCGAAAGAGAAGGGAAATACTTTAGAAGGAACCAGAAACTCAATCCAAATTTGTATCATAATTTTTCTCATTGAAAGAAAACATAATAGTAGAATTGATGCCTGAGGACATTTTTATTGTTTGAATTTCTCAGAAGAGAAATTATCATTTTTTACATTCAGACTAATGTCCTCATCTTTCTTTTTATTATCACAACATTTCGGCTGTTGTACTCCCTGGTTTTCTTCAGATGTCTGATTATCCACTAGGTTATTCTCTCATGAGACAATAGCATAAAGCGATGGGCCAAGAATTTGGTGACTTAGTAATTGTGAGTTCAATCTCTGGGCCAGGCAGTACATACTTTGATTCAACAGAAACAGGGTGAGCAATAACTGGGCAGTACTAAATAAAAACAAGACAAGATAATCTGTAGAGACACAGACTGCAAGACAAGACCGAGATCTAATCCCATAGATTAAATAAAGGGTTCAGTTTGAATTTCCCTGAACATTACCCACATCAGCAGACATGTGAAGAAGCCTGGAGAACACAACAAAGGTGAGTCCAAACATAAATAAAAATACTTTTATATATTTATTTTAAAAAGGAATCTACGTTTGTATGAAACTTCATTGTTTGTTGTTTTTTTTAATTTCATTCTTGTTTGTTTTATTAGAGGTCATTTTAGTGAATAAATTATTGATTTGAATACTACAACATTGTATATTTTGTCTTTATTTCATATTTCCTGTTTGTAAACAAGAACAGTCAAATGAAAAATGCTTAGATTC